GTGCGGCATCTTGTACTAGCCCAGACCAAAGCTGGTTTTATAGTGCTAGCCCACTGAGATACCATGCCGCAGTGAAGCATGAATACCCCACTCAGACACATTATACAGACTCTGAGCCGACCAGTCCTTATTGTACCCATTAATGCCAAACGCCAGGCAGGGACCAACAAGTACCATATTTTAACGTCTTTTGGAATGACGCGGTCCGGGATTGAACCCACGACCTTCTGCTCTCCGGGAGGACGCTACACCACGGAGGCGGTGATAATAAAATGATATAGTATTAATATGTAATGTTTAATTAAAGTATTGCAACACAGTTTTGCAAAAAAGAATGATAAAGGTAAAAGTATAACATGATTTTCAAGGTCAGTGTTGTTTGCTTCAACAGAATGCACTTCAGTGCAGTGTGTAATTATTGTTACTTTATGTCAGTGATTCATTCAGATTCAACTCCATTAGAAACATGTTAACATGTACTATTGCTAAATAGAGCTGTGCAATATATCATGATATGGTTGTAAAATGAAACAAAAACATGACAAAAACTATTTGAGCTTAAAATCTCATGTCACCTACAATAACTGTGATCCTTGACTAGAATGCCATTATACAGTCCCACAAAACTTATAAATTTAAGACTTAGGCCTTTATGATAAATTGATAACATGTCCTACTATGAAACCGACAAAAATAACATTATGCGGATTGTGAAATGGTCACTCAGAGCCAAAGTCAAAACAAAATTGGTCCATTTGAGGCCACTTAATTCCTCCAAAATGTCACATATGAAACCATTCAAACCTACACAACTTAAAGCATTTGGTAGAATATTTGGCACTTTTTGAGCCATTAAAGATACTTCCACTTGTAAAATGTTACATGAAACCAACAGAAATACAAGTATGTTTGGCACTTTTAGAGCACATTTTGTGGCTATGGAAATCAATGGCAGATAATTCAAAGGGAGGTAACTCTGGACAACCTATATCATGACATTAGATACATAGAGGATACTAAACGACCTTCCGTGTAATACCATTTTTTATTAAACGAGTTAATGATTCTCTCCAACATAAATTGACAGTTTGATACTAAATCTGCCTACAGTGTGATGACTCTGTTATTTCCGTGAAGTCAAGCAAGGTCCAGTACCATTACTCGACAGCGGCATTAGCATTGATGACGTCATAACTGTGAACCTACAGTATGATAAGCGGTATTACAATAGTGAAATATTGCGTAAAATATTACACTGCGCAGTATCTTCCATGGGCGAGTAATAATGTAGTGATATACACCAGTTTACCGGTAATATTGCACGCCATATACAAAAATAAAACACTCTCAAACTTGTTCCTATCCAATTTTTTTCATGCAATGCAATTAAATGACATGGCTGAACTGATAAACCCTAGTCACAATACAATATGCAGAGTCATATTTTGTTCAAGAAACAATATTTGCATCAAGTTTGGTATAAACCCTCCCACTATTTAAGCTGACTTCTTATATCCGTCGGTTCATTCTATACCTCTTTGTTATAAACGTAGTTAAATATACTGATAAAGCATAAGTGTACCGCATAACATATCATCAAGACTATCAAACTGAACCACTGCATTGTTTCAGGTTTACTAAAAGAACAATATAAACAATGGAAATCCCCTCAAAATTCTTTATTCATCTATTTTACAGATGACTGTACAGGTCTGGTTGTATGATGCCGCTCAGATGAAGACCTGCAATAGAAAAGTTAAACATGTTACCTGATGTAAGCAGAGATGTTACGTGGGTGTCTAGTTCTAATTTCAAGTTTTCAAGTCTTTAGATTCCAGAATACAATCTGGTGGACAAAGGCAAGATCAAAAAGTCCCTGCTTATTACAAAGTGCAAGATTTCTTAAGACATTAAAATTGTCCACGCTCAAGGCCTTAAACAATAATAATCCTGGATTTCAATATCAGATTAAGGAAAACCAAAACTTAAATCCTGAATACTGTGAATATTTGGAATAAAATTGTCTCCTACAACTCTTTACGTACATAATTTCTATGTAGAAGTGGCTAAAGGATGCAATATATGGCACCCAGCAAAACCTTGTATATTATCAACTACATCTTGCCAACTTCAAACTTATTGCCAATATCATGTCTGTACATTTTCGAAATACTCCTACTGGTAACAAAACTGCAAAACATATGAAATCCAAATGTATTTTGGTCAAGAAGGGTGTATCTGTGATTCAACCCAAATGCCCAAGGACTAATCAAGACGTGCTCAGGGGCTGATATTCATAACCAGATCTGCAGGAAATGAAATATCCAATTTGACTACAAGTTACCCATTGCCCTCCAACTTATGAAAATAACATTAAAGTGTCCAACGTCTTGATCTTAGGTTTAGAAACCTAGATAAATTCCAAATTGCCAAAGCAGAAAAACTGCAGGAAAATACAATAATTCAAAGGCATTGATATAAAATATTTTAGAAGTATTTTAGCACTGCATTTCATGCCTTTATTAAAACCTTTGTTTCAGATCATTGCTCTCTTTATTGGTACTAAGTCATGAGGTAACTCACATTTTGAAGGATGAGGCTATCTTAATCTTCTGGCCTCTCTTTCAGATTCCAGTAGTGTGAGGATGTCTCCCTCTCTGACTGGGCCCTTGACATTGCGGATGATTGAACGATTGCTGTCATCCAAAAATTCAACTCTGACCTATAACCGAATTAACAAAAAAAGGCTTACCATACAACAAATAAACATTTTATAAATATATAATTTATGGCAAAGAGCCAAGGGTGTCCCCTATGGTATTCAAATCACAGGACCACATAAATCTATGAACTTTAACGATGAGGTTATGACAACTCCCCTGATTAATTACAAACACTGCAGATAATAAAGACATACTGTTACTCAGGACTGAATCATAACATAGCTCTACATAATTAAAGTTAAGAATAACTCAAGACAGTTGAGAGGCGAGTATGATTTTGGTAAAAAGCAATAAGCATTTCAGCATTTATCTTTCATCAGTGTTATTAGTTTTCTAAAGAACAGTGAGTGTAACAAGAGACTGATCCACATGATGGTCGATATAAAATGCATCAATAAAAGTAAATCCTAGTACATGAATCAGCTTATAATTGTAGAAAGTCAAAGAAAATCTCTGTCTGGCTATTTCTGAGCCTTAACAAAACAGCATCCAAATGAACCACCATTATCACACTGTATTAAACATGGAAACCTGTCATTGTATACATGATCAAGATTTACAATTGGTACATATCATAATAGTATTAATACACAAAATTAAAAAGGTCTGAAAAGCAATTAATGAGAATATATAAAAAGACTGCTTTAGCAGAAAACACAAGAGTTGAATGCGTGTTCATGTTTATATAACAAACTATGAGAAGCTGCATCATCTGTGTAATGTATGTACCTGTGTACATTGTCCTTGTGATCCTGTACGACCGAGGACTTTCGTCACCTGGAATGATACAAAGAAAACACAGATATATACATTGTGATTTCAATAAGATCAGTAAAGAATCATGCACTGACCCCAAACAAGTTTAGTTCCAAACATTGCATGAGTGAGTTTTGTATCATGCTGTGTTGAGCAATATTCCAGCAAAATCACCAGAAATGGCCTTCACGAACTGCACCATGTCAGGAGTCTTGCACCATGTCAGGAGTCTAACCCATGTCTTCAATGTAATGAGCAAACAATTTAATCCCTACAACCTGCTACCCCCAAACAATGAAAGGAACTGCATTGTCATCATGGTCATATTGCATGGTAACTTTTTGTGTATATTTGGTATACTGACCAACATTGTTCATTTCAGACTTTTAAAAGGAAAAAAACCCTGGCAGATTGGCCATGCGACTCGAAGCATGCAAAAAAAAGAAGCAAGAAAGACAATATGCACTCTTTGTGACAAGTGTGATCACATAATATCACCATCATCTCATTTCTTTAAGCATTACTAACTTATTGCATTTACATTTTGAGATACAAACTCAATATTCAAGACTATTTCCCAACGTTAGTTCTTTTGTCAAAAAAAGGTTTACCATAGAGGGGAAAAATATTAGCACATTGAGCATGTATTAGATACATGGATATGTGCGCTATATAAATATCCTATCCTACCCTACCATGACCTCTGCCGACACATAGGGAGCTTCTACTAATTGAATTCGTTAGGGTTTACCTAGAGCTACTATTTCTCACAAATGCATATCATTCAAGCGCAATCAACTGTCAGAAATCTAACCTGATTACACTGCTAAAGCATACCCAATGGGGCTTGTAACAGCTGAATTAATAACAACTATTTTCCTGAAAATGAAATGGACTATCGTCAGCTTCTCAAGATTTGTCGGGTACCGGCCAAAAGCCCCTCGCCAATTTGAGCACCCTTGTCAAAGCCACCTGATTCAAAATTGAATACGGGCGTAAATCTTTCCCAATGCGCACTCGATAACTGTCAAGCAATCTTTTGCCCTCATTCTAGATTTGGTTTAGAAGAATAACGATAAATGAGGCCAATGTCGATCAACATATTTGATAAGAAATCAAGTTGGAGAAATCACATTTATTCTCAGATCTGACTAACATGCTCCGTCAGTCACTTGGGTTCACCTGTTAGGTACGTCAGTCGCCAAAGTGATATCCAAATGTCACATAGTTACTGCCATTTGTATATGAACTATTTCTGTGCATTCAGACTAAACAAAAGATGAAATATTTCTCTTACACGAGCGAGCTTAATTGGCATCAACTTATCCATGTTGCTTTTTCAGCGGAAGAGGGAGCGGAAGGGGTTTTCACGTGGTGTTTCACGGAGGACAAAGCAGTTCGGCATCAACAACATTCATCGTTGAATATTCACCAATTAATTTTGTTACAATTCTGACATGATACACATCTTCACATTATTCATCTAGCATTTTTCTCAAATATAGTATCTTTATAATTTGATATTATAATTTCGTTAGTGCGGAGCTTCAAAATGGCGACCCCCAGAAATGTAACCCCTCTGGTTGCTCGATTGAGGGACTTGTTCCTACAAGTAATGTCATTATGTTTTATGCTTATTGTAGACATGATTAATTGACTGGGTTGGGACTGTTCCCCTTTTGCATGGGCATTTCTATTTGTGAGAACACATAATACTTGTTATTTTTACGTTGACCTTGTCAAGTCCGCCAATGACTGATCGTGTGTCAGTGTGTGTGAGCGAATAGTTTCAGCTGTCAACAGAAACAATTGTTAACCCATTATTTTATCATAGTAAGAGAGGCCACAAAGAGATTGAACTAACGTTGGGTAAGAGTTCCTTTCGTTCCCCCATCCCAAATAATATGTATAAATATTCTAGAATTTAAACAAAACTTAACACAACAATTACTAGAGAACTCACAAAATGATTAAAGTCCAAAATTTAAGTTAGGGCTAGGTTTAGGGTTAGGTTTAGAGTTTGGTTTAGAGTTGGGGGAACGGAAGGAACTCTTTCCCTTTTGACTTGCCGTAATTAGTGCATGCAATGGATTTGAACCTGCAATAGGCCATCTCACGTACATGTTACGTTTCTGACTGGTTAATATTGCTAAAATATTGCTAAAAATGGTGTGAAACCCAACTCACTCACTCTGAAGTGCCAACATAAACAAATAATCCACAAAGCCTGTGCATCAAAAGGTGGTATGCACTAATGTAGAAATTGCATGACCATGTTGTCTGTGGGATAATAACGGACTGAATCCAATTAGACGATGCATGTATCTGATGAGGGTGTCATTCACATGGATGGAAATAATTTGTAAAATCTTCTGTTGATATATAGATTTGTCATGACTATGCTTGTATGGTTATTTAGGTTGTTTTTATCTGACACAATATTAGTGCATTTAAACAGATTGGGTTGTGTAGTCATCACTTAAATCATGTTAATGATATGTTTCCTACCGAGTTGAGAAACAGTTTTTATTCTTCTGTGTTACCATGATTATATACAAAATATTGATTTGGCTACTCGAGTATGGTTTAACCCATTGGCTTATGGCTTATGGAATATATAATCACTTAATTGAAAACCCAACCTGCCCCTATACTCCAGTCCTGAGAATAAGTAGCACTCCGTACATGTTTTAAGAGGGTAGCAATAATAGTGATAATAATGTGGATAATATACCTCACAAAGTAGCAGATGATCATGATCTTAATGGACATTGTTTACATTTCAGCGTAAATTCAACAACTCACTTCGTTTTGAGGGAGTGAATACTTCAAAAAGGTAGGCTCCAAGAAAATCGTTTTTTGCTCACATGACATTCAGTGAGCTCATGTTGTGGCATGTTGTCTATCAACATGATCAAAAGAAAATGTTTACATCTCATATTGATCCCCAAGACCTGGAAAAATTGTTTTACATCCCATCTTAATAGACACAAGATGAAGCTTAACAAGGCTGATCTCAGCTGTGGTTATACTAACTTGGTCATAGAATTAAAATTGGATTTTCAAAATCCCACTGTGGGAATGGTATCCGCAATGTCAATTTTACTTAGTCTTATTACTGTACCAGTGGCGGTGGGGTAGCCTAGTGGTTAAAACTCGTCACGCCGAAGACCCGGGTTCGATTCCCACATTGGTACAATGTGTGAAGCCCATTTCTGGTGTCCCCTTCCATGATATTGCTTGAATATTGCTAAAAGCAGTGTAAAACTAAACAAAACTCACTCACTCACTATTACTCCATTATATGATATTGAAGAATTTTATTTATTTATGTTATAACTTGGGATATGTTTTAGCCATTCCAACAAGTATTATAATAAGTATCTGGTATACCTATGACACATGTTCTTCACTGCTGTGTTCGATTATGCCTTATTTGATCAGGGGTTTACATGACGCGTGATACCTGCGTGTTTGACGCAACAATTATGTAAAAGATTCTCAAAATATTATCATACGAGTCAAGCTAGACGCAAGTTTTATGAGTGACCCTCAGATGTCAGTTCAATAAAATCGATTTGATAAGCAAACAATGATAGTTTTCGTGAGATCTTCATTGATTTAGATATTTCTTTCAATTCTTGTTAATAACTGTATGTTACAGTGAATAAATCACAAGCCTGATTATTTGTTTAGTATTCTGGAGTTTGTTATGACTGAACTGAACTGTGAAGAATATACTGTGTTTATTAACTAACATATAAATGTCAATACAACAGAAAACAATAAAATATTGATATACACACATAAATATCACACTGAAATATTCATGACTCACAAATATTGAAAATGACTCCCAAATAAATACTGTGAGTCACCATGACTCTCTTTATCCAAAGTCTGTGTAAAACCCTGTGTGATAGTTCAACCTTTCAATAGAAATTAGAATAGAATAGAATAATACTTTATTGCCTGTTCAGGAATTTGTGTTACAACAACAGAGCTACTGACACATCAGAGAGATACAAATATGTAACATATGTACGTAAATTCATGAATTTAGATATGTTCACATTTGTTTAAGAGAGGTATGGTACTTGGAATAAAGGATGTACATCCTCTCTTAGTTTTCACAATTGGAACTTTGTTTCGGCGGCCTGAAGGGAGGAGGTTGTATTCCCGAATGTAAGTCGTGATTTGGGTCAGATATACTTTTGACAGCTTGATTTATGATTTGCTGCTCATATATTGATGATAAACATTTAAATTTCACCCCAGCGATTTGACTTGCAGTGTTAACAATTTTGTCTATTTTAGATTTGAGGTGAACTGAGAGAGACCCGTACCAACAATGGAAGGAAAATGTTAATATACTTTGAATAAATGCTATGTAAAATGATGACATTACAGATGGGTTAGCATTAAAAGATCTGAGTTTACGCATGAGATGAAGACGTTGTTGACACATTTTGTATAGGGCTTCAGTGTTAGAGTTCCAGTTCAGCTTAGAGTCGGTGAAGGTTCCCAGATACTTATACCCCGCCACCGTCTCAACACATTCACCGTTGATTATCACTGGAAGCATTTCTGTGGGTTGACTTCGAAAGTCAATTATCAGTTCCTTTGCTTTTGTGAAATTTGTCATGTATTGCTGTGGCTTCGAAATAGCACAATGGCATTCATGATGAGCCTGTATTTCGATCCAATATATTGTAAGTTATATATCAATCTAATGTTTGTCTGGTTTGTCCTGTGAGAAATGAGTGAGTCAGTGAATATGGTTTAACACCACTTTTAGCAATATTCCAGCTTTATCACCCCAGGGGACACCAGAAATGGGCTTCTCACATTGTACCCAAGTGGAGACTTGAACTCAGGTCTTCAGTGTGACAAGCGAATTCTTTAACCACTAGGCTACCCCACCGCTCCTTGAGAAATGAAGACGTGTGTGATCAGTTGTATAATGTGTATTGTCAGATCTCACTCCCTATGATGACATTGATGGTACATTCAGCAATGGTACTGGGATTTGCTTTGCAGAGTTGCATCCCTTGGACACGCTGGTAATGGATGATTGTGGATTTGAATTCAGGTTCACTTAATTGTATGTATAGGTTTGTCAATGACATACACAGCCTCATGGTGTTTGACCAGAGTCGTGAATGTCTCAGACTGGCATCACTTTGGGCTGTGTTAAACCCAACTCCCTTCTTTCTCCAGAAATGGTATAAGCAGGTGTCAATGCTATCGATCACATCTTTATCTTGACCAGACTTTACTCATTATTTCCTCTTGTGTTCCAGGACACAGCCCCCTCCAGATGTGCCCGATGGGCCCTCTCATAAGTTGTCCTCCAACTACTACTTCACTCGAGATGGCAGGAACGAGATGTTGCCCCCCAAGAAGGTGTATGAGGCCAACCAGCAGCTGTTGACAGAAGGATCCTCAGGGTAACACTTTACTGATCTCTATGACATCGAGCAATGTTTGTTACTTTTTGCTTTAATGACTTACATAAAAATGATGTCCAATTCGCCTGGCCATAATTTCAATTACCAAATGCACACTTTTAAAAACAAAAATACACAGCTTAGGCCAGACCAATTTTATTTCTTGTTTTACAGATTTTTGTCTTCAGAAAACCTAAAGGCAGGAGGGAAAAAAAAAAATATAAATCACCAATCAAAGTAATATTCCTTTTAAATACTAAAAGTGTTTTATTTTGGCAATTTGGAAGTGTATGTGAGGGGAAAACAATCAAAAACATTTTTTTTGTAAGTTTATCTTATAGATTAGTTTTATTCAAAATTTCATTTGATACTGCTGTAACTCAGCAGCTTTCGTCAGTGCATCAACTCAGCATGATTTACAGCAACCACAGTCAGACTGCCAGTGTACATAGTTGTCACATGTTGGTTAATGAAACACATGAGATTTTCAGAAGGATGTATTATCACTTCCTTGATATCCCTTTCGCCCTTACCCATTCCGCCACATGGGTACAATGTGTGAAGCCCATTTCTGGTGTCCCCCGCTGTGATATTGCTGGAATATTGCTAAAAGCGGCGTAAAACAATACTCACTAACTCACTCACTCACTTACCCATTCCTTGCTCAGCTGAATCAGCCAAACAAACAGCAGACATACGTTGCTGTGTGCAGTCAGAGGATAATGAATTCAGAATTATGATCATACTGAATGTTCATAATTGAGGTGGATCTGGAATCCCATCCTGTGCCCAGCTGAACCCTGGCATGGGTAAGGGATGTAACTCTGTCAGCTTCAAACAATGCTAAAGTCAAAATCTAAAAAAGAAGGCTTAATAAGGATAGATGACTAAGTAATTTTTACACCATAACATGCAACTATATGATCCATTCTGCTGAGATTTTTGAGACCTTATGATGGAAAATAGAATCACAGGGGAGGATCCATTTAATCCAGGGTTGGGTCAAGGTTGAAGGAATGTCGAGGAGGAGAGGACATCCCCTTTTGAAAATCATGTGTGTCATAAACCAGTATATAATGCCATTGTACAACATGTTTTGGAACTGAAGCAATCTGGTATGATCTGGGGGCTTGTGTTTTCTTCAGACTGACAAACTGTAGCATCAGTACTGGTACTTCACTATGTTTCATCATCCCCCATACATATATTCTGTGAAAGCAAAAACCTTATGGCAACATGTAAGTTCCATTCCACTTTTTATGACAAAGGGGATCTACTCTGTGCATGACCGTTTATTAAAATCCCAACTTTTCCTGATATTGAAGCATTGTGTGGAATGACTCGCCAGAATGCTATGGCTCTTGATGCTTCGACACATTTTTCTGTTGTTTGTTTTCAATTTAACACTGCACTCAACGGTCTGGAATAATCATGTCTAAACCAGAAAGTCCAGTGACAGACTCTATAGGCATCGTTTTATGCAACACTGGTTCCAAGTCAGCAAATTTGATTACCTGCTCCTTTTGTGACAAGCATCGGTAGCTGAAGACCCAACTCAGATCTCCATGGTCTGGGCCATCTGTCGTGAACTGTGGAACCAGGCCTATTGTGAAATATTTCAACTACACCTCTAAGCAGTTGTATGTATTTGCAGATGACTGATAAACAGACTAATCAAAACATGAAACAGTATTGAACATCTACTAATTGTGGTGCTGTGAAGTTCTGAGTCTTCAGCGACCCATGCTTTTTGTAAGAGGCGCTTCAGGGGATTGGGTGGTCAGGCTCACTGACTTGATTGACACATGGCATCATTACAATTGCGTGGCTCAATGCTTACGATATCAATCACTGGATTCTCAGGTCTGACTGGATTATTTGCAGATTGGCGTCAATTAGCTGTAAAAATGCTAAGTGCAGCGTTAAACAACAAACAAGCAAATACTAATTGTGGAAGCAATATTCCATATCCACCTCAACTAAATAGCTTCATTTACTTTCAGAGAGAAGGCCGTATCATCAGGCAAGGCTCCAGTACGGGCAGGGTTTGGTTATGACTGGGACACAGGTCGAGCTCAGTTCTGAATGACATTTGTGTGTTTCTATCCTTATAACGGTTCTGCCAGCAAGGACTTCTGAAAGTAGTTACACAAGATTGTGGATGAATGCTTGTATATATTAGAGGATGTTTATGGAATAAAGTGTGTTAGGAAATTGTGTGGTGTTTGTTGTATGTTTTTAGCATCTAATAAGACAACTATGTTAACAGACCCATAGCCATTGACTGTAATACAGGTTACTGTGTAGAGGCCTTGGAATTTTAAATTAAACACAGACACAATTAGTTTTATAATTCATAACTGGCATCCAAAGAAGACATCATTTGAGTGAGATCAAGGCTTATTTTACCTCCATGCCTAAGGGGTGATGCGGTAGCCTAGTGGTTAAAGTGTTCGCTCATCACACCGACAACCTGGGTTCGATTCCCTACATGGGTACAATGTGTGAAGCTCATTTCTGGTGTCCCCTGCCGTGATATTGCTGAAATATTGCTGAAAGCGAAGTAGAACCATACTCACTCACTCACTCCATATCATAATATGGTGGTGAGATATTTCCTGCAAGCACCCACCCCAAAGATACATATAACGCGTATATGATCTGGAGTTCACAAGTTACAAACACTAATGTTCCATGAAAAATAGGGTCGGTGGGGTAGCCAAGTGGTTTAAGCGTTCGCTCGTCACGCGGAAGACCCTGGTTGGATTCCCCATGTGGGTACAATGTGTGAAACTAATTTCTGGTGTCCCCCGCCGTGATATTGCTGGAATATTGCTAAAAGCGGTGTAAAACAAAACTCGCCCACTCACTCCATGAGATATATACTACTATGAATTTATGAATATTGTCTGGTCCAGACTCGATTATTTACAGACCGCCACCACACAGCTGGAATATTGCTGAGTGCAGCGTTAAACAACAAACCAACCAACCAAACAACCAACCCCTTGGGTAGGCTGAGCGTCCGTAACGCAAGAGAAATGCTCTTCAAGTGGTCACTCACCCTTAAATTGAACAAAATGACAAACGGCATTTCCCTTTCAACACGGGTTTTGTTCCATAACTCACCTAGCACACACTTTGATTAGCACCCACGTTCAATTTCTCAGTCAGGACAACTCCACATGAATTTCAAATAGATTCCATAATTTACGACACTTTCGATTGTGAAAATAGGCTACGTTTGCTGAAAGTTATCCCAGAAACGTTGAAGCACTTTCAGACATATTGTTTATTGAAATATTGATTATAGGAGGGGAGGTCCAAAATATTGATCTATAACTTCCAAACTGCTGCATGGGTTCATTTCAAATGTGGGGCGGTGGAGTAGCCTAGTGGTTAATGCGTTCGCTCGTCACGTCGGAAGACCCGGGTTCGATTCCCCACATGGGTACAGTGTGTGAAGACCATTTCTGGTGTCCTCCGCCGTGATATTGCTGGAATATTGCTTAAAACGGCGTAAAACCAAAGTCACTCACTCATTTAAAATGTACCATCTTTAACAGGAAACGTTCAGTGAAAAGTTTTGAATATTTTGAACGTGTATTTTTGGGCTTCTTAGCATATTTGGAATTCAGAAATATATTTATACCTCTGACAGAAAAGGTATATAGTTATGCAAAGGAATTCGCTAAAATATTCCCCATTGCTCTGCAAAATATCATAAAATCGTTTGACAAAACACCTCATATTGCTGTAGACTTTAACTGTGATCATGAGAAAAAAGAACAATTGCCGTCTTTCAGAAAATACAACTACACACAAGGTTTTCACCTAGCCACTCATTGTAGCGGGAGAATTCTGGACTATATGTATGGCCTGTCTTCGTGATGGAGTGATTATATTATTTCTCCGATCTTGGCATAATCACTATCTTGTTGGAGACATTAAACTAAATTTGTTGAATCATCGGGAAAAATATAATCTTGTCCTTAAGTTTGAGTGAGTATGTTTAGTTTTACGCCGCACTCGTAGTTAGTTTTAGCAATATTCCAGCCATATGGCCTTCAGTTGGAAAGGAACGCATCATTGACGGTCTTCTTATTATTTTCTATGATTTATGCAGTAACTTAAGTAGACACCGGCAGCTAAACCACTCACTCAGGCACATCAAATGACAGATATGAATTCCCGACACGTCCTCTACGGTGCCAGCATGCCCAGTGAACATAATCTCCAAAAGAAGGCGCAGGCATTCTCCTCATTCCTCACAAGAGAACCAGCGCATCCCCCATAGTCCAATAAAATTAGTGTGAAAAATCACTGAACCTAAAGAAATTTGGTACAGAAATGGTTTTGTGTTTTTATCATTTACAATAGTTATGTAAACAATATATAAAACGTCCTCCCTTGGATGTTGATGCTTAGTGGCTTTTTGGGGGCAAAAACTGTGAAAAATGGTATTTTTCAATTATTTTGAAATAATAATGAAAATTAAAATTGAAAATAAAACATGACATGAGGTTTGAACTTGGATTTTGGACGCTCTAGCGCACAGGAAATGTGTAATTGAGAGTTATCCCCCTTTGTTTACAATAGATTGAAGTAGCAGAATGGAAAGAAAAGGTTCTATCTTTTATAAAACTCAAACTAGATGAGGATATACTTAGCCTAATAGGTAAAGGATCATAAAGACAGCTAAAAGCTCCAACTATATCAGTGCGGTCGTGTAAGACTACGCACCTGGGTGATAAATGGGACATTCTGTATCAAGATTTAAGAGAACTTGAAGAAAGATATGACAAAATGATAGATTAGGAAAATATTATAACATTTATATTTTCTATGCTATATATTGATTTTAAAACAATTTCAAAATGTGATTGAAGGATAGCCCTGTTCTCTTTTAACTTTAACTGGCAACTAGATATTATCATGCAGAATTGAGTGAACCTTAGCAAATATTTATAGTATAGCTGGGTTTTTTTATATCAGATTTGAAATCTAAGCAACACTAAAAAAACGGACTGAAATCTATATGAAAAAAAACTTGAAATTGATTCTCATAAACTGGATATATAACCCATATTTTGAATGAAAAACATACCAATCTTTCTTAAAATTGGAAAAAATCAATTTAGGCTCCTTGTAGTGAGTTTAGTTTTACACCACACTCAACAATATTCCAGCTATACAGCGGCGGTCTGTAAATAATCGAGTCTGGACCAGACAATGCAGTGATCAACAGCATGATCATCAATGCATGGGATATGACGACATGTGTCCACGAAGTCAGAGAGCCTGACCTTACGACAAACATGGTTTACTGAAGATCAATTCTAACCCGGATCTTCACAGGTGCTAGGCTACTTGTTAAAAGCTCTAATAAGGTTTTGAAAGTACAACCAGTATTGTCCTTTTTACTGCCAGTGAAAAATGGAATGATATCGTTATCTATTATGCTGAAATTACTAAAGGACAAATGCTTTAATAAGTAGGTGGTGCATGCTTGTTTATCAACCGTCTTAAAAGTTTGCTCAGGAAACGAAAAGATTTCTGACTGACACAGGAATGACTATGTATCCCATGGTATAACATGTCGCTGTGGATAATTGTCATAAAATCATGTACAATTCGATGTACCGGTAAGTGGAAAACTATTGCAAGCAGCATTGAACCAAATCACCTCACCCAACCACATCTCAAATATTCAAGTTAGCCTGAACACAACCCTTCAAATTATTGGACTTCCTTTACTCCGAATATCTTCTGTTACTGTTAAGTTTTGCTTGGAATAGCATTCTCACCAAGCATGATCCACAAAATTAATTCAAATATACAGACTGTGAGACCAAGGGTATCTCTGTCACCCCTTTGAAAAGCCCTTGGTGTTAAGGGTCATTATCAGTGTAGTGCAAGTCACCTGCTATGTTAATTAATATCTTGTCATTACTATCTCTAGTTACAGAAGTAGGAGCAACACTTCCGAAAATGGGTGTACACGAAGTCAGTTAATTCATTTTGCAACAGATAATGTAGATCAATCTGAGAACATGGATTAACGCATACCGATGACGTTTCTGTCAATCAGGTGAATGTTTGCCAAGGTTGCCGAGGTGTTGATGCGCTAAAAGGGATGGGTTCATATGTTCTTTACCAAGCAATTTCTTCAGACTTGCTTGATGTCTTGAACAATTCATGTAGAATATAAAATGAATCATTAGATTGTACCATTCTCAGTATTGAGTTGTGCCACCTTAATGCCTATGATCAACCTGAGTCCCAGACTCAAAGCTGTATTTGCTCAACATGTTTGTGAGCGGTCAAGTACAATGTGAACTACAATGTCGGTACACATTTCGACAAACCATGTATATAAGGTTAACCAGAGTCAAGTGATCTACACAGATTCATATTCACGTGGAAGTCAGATGGTTGTATTTGACAGATAACATCTCACATAGGACACTGGAAATGGATTTACTGTGAGAATTTCTCACCCATATGTTGACATGGAAGTTCCGTCATGCATGATGTGGCCCCGTGTGGTTCAATCGGTTCCATAAGGTTACAGCAGAAACGTATTGATGTGGATTTCAACCTTTAGCAATAAATTATACACTCTTATTGAGTAAACCTAAACCTAGTGTCATGGACAAATACCTGGAGAGCAAAGGCACCACTTAGTTTTTTAATTGAACTCCAACTGGCCGCTGCAAGTATACTACCATGGACAAAGTCAAACTGATTGCCAAAGAAACAATATATACACATTTCAACATCTTAAAATAGCACAGGGCTCTAGTTCATAACTTGATCCTCTCTCTGTTCAAAGTTTATGGATGAATATGTGAGTTTTAGAGATATGGAATGAAATTTCAATTATTAGAGACTTACCATGCGATGGACATACAAGCTGTCTACTATACTACAATAAATATACATCTATACTATCAAATATGTGTGAACAGCTTCTCCATACTGATAGAAGATAGTTCTCAGTCAGATAAATCTAAACTTTGAGACAAAAGAGGAACTAAATTGCCTGGTCCCGAAGTTGTGTTTATTTTACCCTTGAAAATAGAACGTATATGCTCTGAAAAGTCTTTTTTTCTATGGTTGTATTAAAATTCTATGACTTTTCAAGCCCATGTGTTAGTAGTTCCTTGTGTCCTCTTTGAAAATATACATATAAAAGTACATTTGAGGCTCAA